CGTTTTTAATTTGGATCACAAATCAGGTACAGGAAATCCAGGATTTTCCAAAGACCACAATACTAAATTCTCTTGGCTCTAGCAGGCTAGTGCCTTTCATGGATTATAATTTTTCCTTTGTGGAGATCTCCACCCCAGACATGGGGAAACAGCTGGCCATTGACTGATTCTTATTTTTTGATTTTGAACTGCTAGGCAGACACATTTTTCACTGACTTAAAAGCATTTTGACCAACTTTTGACTGACTTTAATGACTGGAAGCAGGATTCTGTCCAGCTTTTCTTTTGTTTCAGACTGTTTGACGCAGCTAAATCTTTCTAACCTTAACTCTGCTTTTTGTTTTGTAGATGGAGTCAGTGCGGGCAGCTATGTGACTTGATTTGTAGCATATGGTTCTTTGTCACCCTATAACAACACAGTATGCATTTTGATTCCCAGCATGCATTAAAATGGCCTTTTCTCTTCTACAGGTCCGGCTCACCAAGAATTTCTAATCAACCGATTGTTTGCATTCTTTCCTCACCTGCCTTCTACTGCTGTATGCAAATTGTAGGCCCATACAGGTTTCTAACGACCCGGTGATGCTGCCCTGCTTTATCCTAACTGCATTTGCTTTCTACTGTATTTTTTCCCTTTAAAGATGTCTCCTAGCATTGATACATGGTTCTTCACCATGTATCAAAAGGAGGGATGGGGAATTGTAAATATTATGGTGCGCACCAAGGGTTTTGGGTTTCAAATTTAATAATTTTTTTTGAGTGGTGTGTTGAAAATGTTGAAACTAATCGACTAACAAAACTAATGAACTAATGCCCCACAACATCCAGACAGGCAGCGAAAGCAGTGAGACCATCACCAGACAGTTAATACGGCAGGTGATACGGCCAACTTCAACTGCCGCCAGGGTAGTTGAGAGGGACACATGGGTCCATGCATCACAGTGCGAAGTGTTTCCCCAGCGAGGATGCCCTCCAACAACACAGACAATGGCTGCAGTGCTCACCACTGTCCTGGTCAGCACAGCTAGGGTACTCCAACACCAGCTCAACAAGATAGCAGACGTTTTTCTACAAGGAGCTCTCAACAAACAGACTCCACTAGTACTCATATAACCACAACACTGACACAGATTATAGATTCATTTGCACTCACCAGTCGAACTGATGTCATTTACACTGATTTTCACATTCACACTGTTTCACAAAAGGAAGGAAAATAACTGTCATAACCAGTGAAGATGCAAGAAGAGGATGCAGAGGGGAGACGTAACATTGGCATGTTACCAACGCAGGAAGAAGAGGACAGAAGAAGAGGGATTCGAAAAACCACAAATAAACCATGCAACCAAGAGAACACCACCTTACACATTGCACATCCACTCAAGCCCCCTCCCAATCAATAGAGGAGGTTAGAACTGATTTGGCCACGCTGTGAACATGAATTAGGATTATACACAGCAGATCCAGAAATGTTGACTCTGGTAGTAGAAAACTCAGTCATTCTCTATTTATATTTTATTTTTTGTTTGTTTTCTTTTTCCTTCCACATTTACCTCATTTGTTTTGAATCACAGTTTCACCAGCAAGACAAAAATGGAATTCAAGGGAGGGAATAAATTTAGGCACCTAGAGTTTTGTGGGATAAAGGGAACAATATCAACTTTAGCCGTAATCATTTCTCTAGTTATAACAATAATCCTATAGTCTCATCTCCAGAAAATAGGTCAACCACAGAACCCATTCAGCCCATTAATACTGCACACATAATAAACTTTATCCCACCAAACAGTACAAATTTCACAAAAGATTTAGAAGACCCAGGAAGATTGCTCAACCCATGCAAGATGAAGAGTCAGATAGTGAGATCAGAAAGGAAGAAGATGATTTCTTTGCATAAATCATGATTTGAGTTTACAACTTCTGTTTTGTTAAAATGTCTAGAATCTTTGGAATCATATTTTGATGTGTATGTAATGTTTTAATTTTCAATGACATAATTGAAGATATGCTAAGTCTAATAGTATTTCACACCAATAAATGGTGTGAAAGGAGGGATTGTTGAGTTTTAAAAAGTTACAACAAAACTTAATGTACTCCAGTGTTTCAGTGCTTTCTTCAAATGTAAACCTGCTGGGTTTTAGGCCAGACAATTCATTAGAATGTTGATTAAACCATTGTTTGTATCCTCTTTGTAATGTAAAGAAAACTGACACCTCTTTGTTTAGTGCCAGAAGGACAGTTTTTTGACTGTTTCATTGACACTTAAGACAGGGTGTAACCATTTTGTAGACAAGCCCTGTTGTTCTCCATGATTAGTTTAGAGCAAAAGACTGTTTATTCCTGTAGATTGAAGGGGGTTTCACGTCTGGGAATTGGCGCTCTTTTGTTCGACCAAAAGTACCATAGAGCAGTAAGGTACACCCTTCCTAATTGGGTGACGAAGAAGTAACCAAATGACCAATGGCTTTGGTCCTGAGCCATTTGAAGGAAAAACCCGCCCACATACCTGGAGGATATTAACAATTAGTTTGGTGAGAATCGGACTGTAAGCTGTAAATCTGAAAAGAGGAACAACTTTCCAGTCCACTGCAGTGTTTTTGTTTTGTTGTTTGTTCTGTAATGCCATCTTTTATTCACCTATTTTTTTATTAAATTTTCTTGTTAATTTTCATTGAACTGAGCCTCTCCTTTCTCAAAATCTGAAAAAACGCAACAAATACAAATGTTACTTTATTATGTATTTGTTAAACATGTCTGCTTAGAAAACAGTGGTTTTTGTTGGTAATTGTCATTCTTGTGGTGGTTTACTAGTGAAACCAGGAGTGAAGTGCCTGTTTCATTTGATAAGAACAGCTGCATTGGTAAGTACGCAATAGTGTAGTGGCAAAGAAACAGCTGTCAGAGTACTATTTCCTGCACCTGACATTGATTTGATTCAAGATGTTTATATATTATAGCTTGTGAATTTACAGAGCTGTTTGTTGTTTGAACTTTATGCTAACAAAATGTGGTGTCCTTACTGACTTTCAGTGGTTATTTTCAAAATTCTATGTTGTTAGATTTTCTAAATGCAATCATTGTTTACATGATATTAAGTCTTTCACAGCATAATTATTTGGCTGTTTATTTATTTTATTCTTCAACAGCGGAGTAGACATCACAGAAAATATGTGTATAACAAAACATGCCTTCTATTGGTGCTTAGGAGTCAGAATGTGTCAGAATAAGACACATGATTGACAAAGAAACTTGAAACACAGTGTATGAGTAGTCCGGTGGTTTAGGTCTTGGCTCTTGCTCTGGATCCAGAGATTGATGGCTCAAACCCCAAAACTTAACATATATGTTTGCTGAACAAGTGTGTAGCACATCATTGAGTCTCTTAGCTGATGGAGCCGCACATTGCACTGACAGTGGTAGCAATTGCAAAAAATAGCTGGCAGCTCTCACACACATTTTCTTAAGGAAATGCCCATTCTAGTTATTTATTTATTATATATAACCCCATTTTCGGCGTTTATCTTCTCCTGCACCATTTGTCCTAGAAAATTCGAACTTCAAAATGTACATCCTGTTCAAGAGATTTATGCTATTACTTTTATTGCTGATATCTGTAATGGTTGATTTTATATTAATATTTTTATGTGAAGAAAAATGAATGGGTTTCAATGGGAGAACTTTCTACCAACATACTCAACTTAAAGGGCTAAATGCACCGGCATATGTGCAGCTACAGACTCCATTTGAGTTGTAGTTTGTAGAAAAGATGTTGATATTTCAAAGTTGTATTGGTGTTTGTTAAATTTTTAGTTTAGGAGCTATGCCCTTCCAAACTGAAGGGTTTTACTGCTTTTAGCAGACTTTAGAGAGTGTCATGTGATTACATTAGCCGATCAGTCATATCTCATTATCTGAAGCATATCGGGGAATGAATTTGGCCGAATAGAATCAAATGCATTGTCGCGCTCGGGAGTCATGTTGCTGTGCTGTGAGAGAGCCACACAGATACAGTTCAGGCAGCTAGTTCCTGTCCTCCTTCCCTCTGTCTTTGCGTGATTCACTACAGGTAACAATGTGCAGATTGAAGCTACATGGCAATCTAAGCTTAACAGTTAGACTACAGACAGCTTTCATTTAGCTCGTTGTACATCTAGCTTTGCCAAGCTAGCATTAGCGCGGTGTGGTTTTAATAACATAGAGGATGAGAGACGGGGACAGAGCAGATCGAATAACCCCTTGTACATGTTATGCTCGTTTAATGGATGTATCGATAAAGTCATCTTTTACTCTTGAGGTTTTGTTGCACATACTGCAGTGGCAAGGGTGGCTGTTGTCAACTCAAGTAGCTTTGAGTTACCTTCACTTCAACTTGTCCACGGCCTATGTCTGCAGTTGCCACTGTTTGTGCATGTGTGTGTCCATGTGCGGGAGGCGACACAGAGCAGCGCAGGCTGCAGCCTGATAATAAACAGTACAGTCTTCAGCCCCAGGCCCGTGGCCCGTTTAACACCATGCTTCAGTGCCCACCTAGTATCTGATTAAACAATCACATATGTCTGTTCTGTTCAGTACAGGGGTTCTTTACTGCTGCGCTCTTCCTCTGACTTTCCTTTATGGACATGGATGGGCAAGTTTTTCCTTGCCTCTGTCGCCTACTGCTTGCTCTTGGTGGGAATTGATGAGTTTCTGTAAATAATATCACAGAGTATGGTCTAGACCTGCTCTTTTATGAAAAGCACTATGAGATAACTGTTGTTGTGATTTGGCGCCATATAAATAAAATTTAATTTATTTTATGTACAGTTAATGTATTCATAAATTGTCTTTTGGCCTCATCTCTCTGGTCCAGTGGGGACCCTACTGGCTCCAATCTACAAATACAGCGATTGATTGTAAGAATTACTGGTGGGCTAACTTACTGTTGATAAACAATCTCCACCCAGTCAGTGATATAGTAAGTTTAAGCAGTAATTTAGACACACATGCTGTTTAGTAGCTCCAGTTTATTTCGACATCTTTGACCTTTTTCTTAACATTTTATTCCTCAGTGTATTCCTTGGACTTGGTACCTGTCTATGGACTTCCAGTGCCACCACTCCTCTGTTGGTCTATTTTTACAGACAGTATGTACTTTCATATGATTCTAAAAAATTGCAACAGTTTAGTCCTCAGTTAAATTACCTTGGAAAAGATGCATTTTTGAATCATGGCCACCGCTGGGGCCATTTCACACAACGATTGTTGTTCTGTAAACTTATTCATCCTGTCTTTTGTTTGTCAGAAACAGAGGTGAGCTGAAACAGCTGTTTCTGGAGGCCTTCTGCTGATGACCACCGTGACCAGTGCTATTGTAGCTACACTTCTACAGCTGCCAGTCGTTCTGCCGTCTCAACTGTAAGACTTCGTTATAGAGATGTAGTACTAATCCAAACAGTTTAGGAACCAAATTCATGAAATGTAAGGTGACTTACAATTAAAGGGGCTATATGTATTTTTCAGTGGCGGTTTTCAGACTGCAACCTGGTGTGTGCTCGTACATGTGTTCGAACTCATGAGCAAGCATAATCTGACACACAGAGACTGAAACACCGGGAGACAGCTTCAGACAACATGACACATGACACGTCGACATTATCTTGTCTGCCCCGTTACAATAACTATTTGTGTTCTCTTTCACCAAAGGCTCAGCAATGTCAGCACAGCTCAATGTATTAATAACGATAGGATGATGATATGAAAACGGAAACGGTTAGTGAGCTAGACTGAATATCATAAATTAGATTGTAGATTAGTCTGTAGTAAGTGCTGAGTGGGTCTTCCACTGTAGTGTTGTCCTGCACCATTATGTTGCATTATTGTATACTGTGTGAGTCACGCAAGTTACAGTGACTGAGACGGTGGAGAAGCTGTATCTGTAAAGACAATAAATCTAAATTGAATGTAACAAAGCAAACAGCGGTAGAGCCACACAAATGTTGCATCACTATAGACTAGTATAAACTAATCACTCCACATTTGCTTTTTACTGATACATAACTTCTTGCAGAAAAAAATCAACACTTTGACATAATACTGATGGTACACTGTATAGTAATATGGATTGTGTTAGCTGGGGAAGTAATGTAGAAAGCCATACAACTGTAGTATTTGCACATAACATTAGCAAATAGTCACCATTAGCCAACACGCTAACCTTAGCTAACTTGAGCCAACTAAAGCACAACATCACAATATATTTCACATGCAGTAATGTTAGTTTACCTGTCCAATAGGATGAAAGTCAACTGTGTGTGGGTTTTGTCGGTGTCAAAACAAAGCAGAGGTCTCTCAGGCATTTCCAGTGTTGACAGTGTTTTCATCAGACCCCAGTTTGTGTTGGAGTCTGTTGTTTATTGCTTATTGGTTTATTGTTTATTGGTATTAGCGGACTCCATCTCGTTAGCTGCAGATATTGATGTCTTGAGGTTTAGTCTCATTTTTTACACATTATACCTGTAACAAATATGAATACAAATAAAGCAGTAGCATATCTGTAAGCTTCCTGTTAAGTGAAATGTGAGTAAAAGCTGGACTTTAATACATGAGAGCAGAAATTAGTATTAATATGTGCCCCATTTTCTCTCACTGTTTCTCCAGGTTTTATCCAGACCCTCGTTCCAACATTAGTTTTTCCTGCTATCTGTCACATCCTGTCTTCATTATCCTGTACACTGGCGTGCAACAGACCCCAACTCAGGCATCAACTTCGTAAGTACTTCAGACAGCACATTTCATTCAGTTTTATCAAGCCTAGCTGATGCAGAGGTATTGATGTACTGTATGTTTCTACTTCAGATGTACTAGTTCCTTGGCTACCTTGTGCTCACACTGGTTGTGAGCTGTGTTTACTGTGCTGGTTGAGAAGCCCTACCTTCACTTAAAATGGAGTAGTACATAGAAACAAATCAGCACATGAAGGACTTCTCCAGTGAATGACCCTAATCATATATTTCATGTACCTTGTCAGTTAGGCCAGTGCTCTTGTTGAAGTCCTCTTTTTTTAGAAAATAATCCTGTTTGTTCTGAAGGTTTTACAGTAATTTCTGAGTGTTTACTACTTTTCTATTGTAACTATTGTTCAATAGTTGACAGAGAGTTGATATGGATTACATCTTGCAGGTGACACAAAAAGGTGAGATCTTTGTACATTGTAATCTACATATAAAGATTATGTGTTGTCTACATTTTCACGATTACCATCTAATCGAAGGAACGATAACAAGGTCAAATAACTGCATTCAAATGTCAATTGTTCATGCAGAAAAAATGTCTATTATTCAGGATTAGTTGTGATTTTCCATAAACATGATATTATTTACTGTTTCTCCACACAGTGTAATTTCAAGTTGGAAATTATTAAAAGAGGACTAATACAGCGAAA